CCCTCTCCCTCTCCCTCTCCCTCTCCCTCTCCCTCTCTCTCTCTCTATCTCTCTGTGTCCAAGGACTGATTGCACCTCCTAAGATACGGAGGTATCACGTTTCAATCACGCCATGCTGCAACGGAATCTATCAACCTTTTCTCCATATTCCGTGGTCTGAAACAGGTTCCATGCTCCGATTGGCCAGGAAGGCACTGAGTGCCCCTCGCGACAAGCGGCATTTGGCCCGCAGCACACTTCAAAAAGCTCTCAACTGGTTCATGGAACCATCGAGCCATGGGAGCTATGGAGCTAAGCGTGTGATTCTTTGACGGTACAGCTTTATTGATCCATCTGCTTGTTTTTTTTTAAAGTTCATGATATCATGACTGATCATGATTGCCTTCGTCATCTCTTCACTCCACAGACTGCCTTTCTGCATCCAAGAAACTAGCCTCTCACATGTACATCATGCCAGATTCACGGCCCTGGCCACGGCAGGAATCAGAAGCGGATCCTCCAAAGAATGTGGAACCCGTTTCTGAAGAATGTCAGGTTTCAGCGCATACCAACTGGTTTCCTGCGCTTAAGAACTCACCTTTGTAAGATTTCAGTAGCCCACAACGGCTCCAGGGCACTACAGATTGTGGGCGAAATTGAATGGGCATTCCGTGTGGGTCCCTACAATAGAGTAGCATGACAAATCATCTGGCAAGAAAATCGTCTGTTCTTGAAACATAAATGGTGTTTCTGCATATTATGCGAACGTATTTACACTGACAAGTATATAATATAGCTCCCTTGAAAAAGGCATCGTCCAATCGAACATGCTACGTCACAAGTTGAATTTGGCAATATCCCCAACTAGAAGGACGCCTTTAAACGTCCCATGCTCGTCGACATTTGACTGAACTCGGCCTGGTGAAAAAGTTCTATTTTGCAGCGCTTTACTGTACAGTACTTGGTTCAAACTCTTGATTCCTTCACCTTTACTGTGAAGTAGGGTGTCTTTCGTTCGGGCGACAAACCAAATTTGTTACTTCGCAAGCAAGAAGGCAAATTCTGGTTTGGTCTTCTTCACCTGCAAAATGTGTCCACTCCACAACATCCCTTTGGATCAGAAAAAAGAAAGCCGTTGCTCAAACTATATGAAAACTTGGGTTGGTGTGAGGTGACTGCTTTCGTTCCTTGACTGCAGATTTAGTGCACATGTTGCTCCCTCACCCTAAGCGACACTAGAAGCCATAGCAAGCCAAACAGCTGGTCCCATTCTGCAAGAAGTAAGAGCAAACCGTAGATTCTTTTTTACATAGATTCAATACTAGTCATGGTGCGCAAGCAGCTCAGGTCCACACAATGTTTCCTTTGAAAAATACCAGTGACTTGTCAATCCCAGTCAACCAATCTCTGCCCAATGTGAGTGAGCACATGCAGTGCGTGAGGGATAACATGACGGCCTTGTTCTTGACAATCTCCTCGGTCATCATGGACCTCATTTCCACTGGATCAAACTTCCGACTGCAGGTGTTGCTGTGCGGGCTTAGTCATCAACTTCCAAGCATCCGTGTAGGTTTCCGCCACCTGCTCCTTCAGGGAGGACATGACGTGGATTGAAAAGAAAAAGCATCCCTCGAAAACACATGGCCTTGAGGTGGACAATGGCCTGGCGACTTGACTCTTGTGTCCACAAAGTGACTTCCACTAGGTAGAAACAACTGCTGCCTTGGCTGGGTCCAATCCTTTGGGGCAGCAGTTGGTGCAGTTCATAATGCCTCGGCTGGCAATGGAAGTATACTTCTGATCGTTTCATATTTTGTCCTTGTTGCAGCATAATTCAAATGTTGTAGGTAGCTATCAAGGTAAGAAGCACTGGAATCAATCAGGAATTTTCATGCTCTTTCTAGGAGAGTTCTTGCGAGTTGTGAAAAAGTTATACCCCTAACAAGGTTCCAGTTGCTTGCCAATGTGGTGCAAAATTTCTGCCACTGCTCAATACATACAGTCACCAGCGGTGCACGCGTTCCACTTCACTTTCTGTAAGCCGGTACAATTCCACTACCAGGAACCTGTCACCTCACCAGCAGCAAGGATCTGCCAAATCTCCAGATTTACCCAGTTCGAGTCGACTGAAAAGAATCTGAATGGCTGAGAGGCAGAGTGACAAGTCCAACCTGAAAGCCTCCTTGGTGGGGGGACCGGGACCTATCATTGATAAAGAGTGGTGGATACTGTGATATTGATTCATCAATAAAGAGGGAGGGCTTGAGCCCTGCTTCGCAAGATTCAAAGTAGCCCTTCAGAAACCACCTTTTATGACCTGACAACAATCACAAGTCCTTTTATGACCTGTTCAAGTCTCACCTGCGCGGAGGATTCGGCATGGGCCACGTGGCCGTGGCAACGATAGAGCTTCATGGTGTCGTTCACCCATGCCAATCTTTCCTGCCCAAAGGAGCAGAAAGAAGGAAAGTTAGTAACAAGACACTATTAGTAACAAGGGCATTACTAATAGCTAGAAGCTAGAAGCTACTAAGAGAGAGAGAGAGAGACAGAGAGAAAGAGAGAAAAAGAGAGAGAGAGAGAGAAACAGAGAGAAAGAGAAAAAAAAAGAGAGAGAGAGAGAGACAGAGACAGAGACAGAGACAGCAACAGCAACAGAAACAGAGACAGAGACAGACAGTGAAAAAGGCCTCTTTAATAAGGCCCCTTCAATGCCAAGCTTAGACAGGAACTACGAGCACATTCCCTGATATGAAAGTTGTTGAGGTGGTGAACATTCTCGGGGCCCACTGGCTAAAAAAAACTATTCCGCAGATAGCATTTGCACCACAGCTCAGCTTTTTACCAAAGAAGAAGCTTGAGCATGTACAAACTGCGATCGCAAATGAATTGTGGCAGGATCGTCCTCATTGGCATTGTAAGGCCCTGCTGCTGGGTATGGTAAACAAGGCGTATAGGCTTCCTCCATGTGCAGATTTCGTGGCAGGTGCAGCACTTTGTGAACCTCCATGTGCAGATTTCGTGGCAGGTGCAGCACTTTGTGAACCTCCATGTGCAGATGTCGTGGCAGGTGCAGCACTTTGTGAACCTCCATGTGCTACCTTTCCTTTGCTGTGCCTTTGGGACAATCGTTGAAGCAATTCGTTTTCTCAAGACGTCCGAAGATGGTCGTCGGGCATGGTCTGAAATGGTTGAGCAAGATCAACCTGAGAAGGGAGGGTGAACGCGAGAGCGCGTGGGAAGCGCTGGGAGGCATAAGTCGGGGTCGATATGAAAAGCCCTCAGTCACGGGTGGGGGGGGTGGAGTGCCCTTTTTCTTTTGGACGAAGGTGCGTTTTGAAGAGAAAAAGGGGCCTCGAAGTCACTGAGGGGCGCTTGTCTGCGGCTTGTTTCTCGTGTCTTGTAGTAGATGGACTCATAAACTTGGTGCGCTGTTAAGAATGGATCGTACTGTTATGGGGGGAAATCGACAGGAACCCAACCCGGGGTTCCCATTTTCCTTTCATTGGGAATCTGCAATAACTGGGTGCACAATGACCAATGATCGGTTAGCAGCCGCTGAGCTTCAAGACACTGCAACGTGCCGCTTTTGTGAGCACAGGAGCTCAAGAAACCGTACACTCCCTTTTTCCTTTGGACCTAACTTTGCTATGTTAGGCATCGTTGAGCTTCCATTGGATACAAGCAAGGGCAAAAATGCATGCTTCTGAACTACCTGTGTGTGTGAATGGTGCAATGGAAACAGTGGTCTGATGCACCTTTGGACAGACGGTTCCGTACAGTTGAGTACGCATCCATGGTTGATGATTGGCATTGTTGGGTGTATCCGTGGAGATGAAACTGTTTTTCAAAGTGGCCGGTGGCCGTCTTTTCCACTGGCGCTTATCTAGCTACACAGCGGAGCTTTGGGCTGTCATTGCAGCTTTGCTGCTGCATCATGTGCATTGGCCATTCACACAGACTCTTTAGCAGTTGTGCAACAATCTGAGAGACTCATTGATATCATGAAAGTGGACCCTGCATGGACGCACGCTGATTGGTGGAGTGTTCTGTTGCTTTTGATCCAGAGAAGAAAAGCTGTGTCTCCAGTTCCTCTTCGATTGTTGTGGCGCCCCTCCCAATTGCTGGAATCAATTCCGTCTGCACAGATCACTGATGAGATTGCGCAGGGACATGCCACAACCAAACAGGACATTGTCCTCAACAGAGTTGCTGATCAAACAGCAAAGATATTTTTTCCAGGCCGAAGCAAAGCGACTTCAGGGACCTATAAACAAAAAAGGAAGCGATATACTTGCAACAGAAGTGGCTTGTATTGCTGAAAATGTTTAAGTCACTCCGGAACCGTTGGAGGAAGAACTTCCTCACGGCCCTCGTCAGTTGTGTCCCATGTGGCCATGGGATAGTGCAGTGTCTTCTTATACATCGGTGTCTCAACTGCCGTTGGACGGATTTGCCTCTGAAATCCAAGCGATCGCTCAGTGATGCAAACCTTCGGAAATGTTTGCAGTTTGCAATTCTGAAATTCTTGGCATTGGAAGTTGGGTAAAGGATTGGCTTGCTCTGTCTTTGAACTCGTGGTTTTGGCCTTTCATCAGAACTGTTGTTTTGACATGGACATTGGTTAGATTGCCACCCGTGTGCGTACGCTAAAGTTCTGCGGGATGGCTTCGCAATT